GAACTGGAGGACCCGAGCTAAGAAACCCCTGGCGCGAGCTCAAACGCTAATGATGAAAGCTTTGTGGCGAAGAAAATGGCCAGGGGACCCCCTATTTATAGCCGCAACCGCGGGTTCTTCGAGGCGAAAACGATTTAGCACATTTTTGACGTCCGCGAAGTCCAAGTCGCGTGAAGTCCGCGTGTAACCCGGACGTGACTCGAAACCCTTTTTGGTCAAGCCAAGCGCTAGACCGGTACAGCTGGACAGAACGCGCGACAACGCAGCACAAAACACCGACGCCAAATCCACCCGGCGCGTCATGACCTCCCCACACTGGGTCACCGCCGCCAGCGCAGGGAATGGAAGGCAATTGATGAAGGGAGATTTGGCCCAACCTTGTAGCTCAGGTACACGTAGGCGTGACTTCGCTCAAACAGTGACTCAACATGACAGCACAACGGACGTAAGCACAACTCGGTGGGGAGGTCCCACCGAGTTCAGCACGGCAACTCGACAGGTAAACTACTTGCCGAAAGCTGCCTCGCCCACACCTCCTCCCCGGGGTTAAGGCACTTCTAACACTGATCTCTCATCAAGCATAGTAGTTTATGTGGCTTATGTTTCTAATTTCAACTAAGTTCTGTTTTTCGTTTACAATTCAAATTTTGTACTTCATTCCCCTAGTGATCTGATCAATCTTTACCCAGGTATCAAAATTTCCATTAGATTATTTAATACAACAATCTAATGAACAAAACATATCATAAATCTACAATGCAAATGCAATAGATAAGGGTTGTCAATTAAAATAACTTGGAAATAGAATAAAAATAAAAGCAGTGAAAAGAGAGGGTGGAGAGGACTGAAATTTCTTGCGAAACTCAGCACTAGGATATCATGTTTGTTTGGTTTGAGGGAAGATTTTGGTGGAATGAGAAGGGAAAAATGGGTGGAAATTTTAACACAAGAGTATCTCATAGCAGGGAAACTTTAGAAAGAGAGAGAGGATCTTATTATCTTAATACAGGAGTATCTCATAGCAGTCTTCTAGGGAACAATCGGATGAACCATTCTTTTCACATATTAAGAGGTACACTATCATTCTAATACTGAACAAGTGAGTTCCTCCATCTAAGGATTGCCTGCAAATTAAGAAAACAGTTGTAGTTGTTTGATCACATAATAAGCAATAAAAAACTTTTAGAATATAGGGATGGAACAAAAGAAGCTGGAGCAAATACAAAGCAAGAACGTTGCCCTGAATATCATTGAAAGACGACATTTTTATAAAATAACAAAAATAAAGTCACTTTTTTTGAAAAATATCAAGGGCAATGACACTGTTTATACCGGTTTCAGCTCTCCGTCTCTCCGTCTCTCCTTCCTCCGCCTCCTCTTACTCGCATGCGTCGCCGCTACCGTCACCACCATCGTCAGCTCTCCGTCTTCCGGTGATGGGGCTTTGATTCCAATAACCCTCGTCAGCTCTCCGTCTTCGTTTGTTTTCTGTAAGAGAGAATCGATGGCCAATAACCGTCACACCCTCAACTAACACCAGTGATGGGGTTCAGCTCTCCCTCTTCCGGTGATGGGGTTTTGATTTCAATAACCCTCGTCAGCTCTCCATCTTCGTCTGTTTACTGTAAGAGAAAATCGATGGCCAATAACCGTCACACCCTCAACTAACACCGGTGATGGGGTTCAGCTCTCCGTCTTCCGGCCGGGATTGTCGATTCTGGGGGCTCTGCTGGTTTCGTGCGAGAGAGCAAAGAACGAAGGGCAGAGGAAGGCGATGAACGGTGTCATTGCCCGATATTTTTCAAAAAAATTTACTTTATTTTGATTATTTTATAAAAATATTATCTATATTAAGAATAAAAAATTGCCCTTATCTGCAAAAAAACCTTTTTTTTTAATGTCTTTTCCAGATTTAAAACCATTTGTGCAGCAGATTAGAAACTAATTCTAAGTTAATTTGTAACGTCAACAAATGCGAACACTAAGTAGTACTATCTCTATCACTGCAGAAGACAAAAAAGCAACTATTATTGTACTTGGAAACCTCATTCCTACGAAAATTACTGTTCTTGAGAGGGGATTATTGTATGGGTTGGTTAAATCACGTACAGTTGAGAAGCCGAAATCTAGAGTTTAAGTCCCACATCGGATTGGAGGAGAGGGATGGCAAGGAGAGTTGAATTACAAAAACCAAGTTGGGCCACCGGATAATTCATACCTTTCTCGGCCTTTTGGCTAAGATCAAGTGTAGTATCTGTTCTTATCAGTTTAATATCTGATACCTGGGCCATCGGCCCACATGATATTAAATAAATTTATCTTGGGGGAAGGCCCATCACAGGAGCTTGCTACTTGGGCCTTCAAGCGTCGCCCATGCGTTGCACTACTGCACGGGCCTGGCGCACCCCCTACCAATTCTTACGTTTAAGTTTTCTTACATTCTGTTCATTCATTTATAGTGTGGGTATGCTTCGTATTTTGGATTTTGATGGCCCATTTACGAGAATTCATGAGATTACGTGCCAATTTTGAACTAGCTTTGACAAGTACTTGAAAGTTTTTTATTTTTGAAAAGAAAAACAGTTGTCACATCAGCAAAATGAATATTTTTTGAAAAAATAACAGTTGCCACATCAGCAAAAATAATATAAATATAACGTGTATGATCTTCAAGTCATATAATTCCATTAGCTTGTGGTTTTATTTTATTAGAGTTAGCTGACTCAGCTGGGCTATAGTGGGTTCCATGGGCGCACCTTCATGGAGGAAAGAGAATCTCTTTACTAGTTGCTATTTTGGAACGATGGTTCATGTATTTAAGTTGTATTTTGGGAGTTAATGAAAATATTGGAATTTATCTCAAATTAGACTCTTGTTAATTTTGGAGGTTTCCTCCAATTAATCCAGCCTACGTTTTTCTCTTTCTCTATGCCAAGAGAAGAACGTAACAGTTTTATTGCAGCAAATGGATCAGATTAAAACCCATTCTTCGAATCTGATTTCTTCAAACCGGATTTGAATACCTTTTAGCCATTATTGGACTGGATATTGATCTAATTCGATCCTCTTCAATATAAGCCCATTACAGATAGACCAGGTCAATCGAATCCGATAAATATTCTGCACTCGACTGATCTTATTCAATGTATTATTGCACCATTTAACCTGCTCAAATTGGTTTTAATTTAGATTGCATTCAATCCAAATCCAATCCAATAAATACAAAAATCATTAAATCTGGATTGATCCAATTTAATTTCTTATTGGACTGTCCAACTTTTTCAAATTGGTTTTTGATGAAGCACAATCTGGTCGGTCTTAGCTGTTGACGATCTTGCCTCTGGAGTGAGTAACAAGAACCTGAAATGGGAGAAGAGAAGCTCCGGGGAGAACCCGGCGTAAGGGCTCCGAAGCTCAAGTTAGAATCCTTCAGAGGCAAGAATAACCAGATAGCGCGAGAGTTAGCATACCTCCTCCCTGGGGGGG